CAATTATACAATTAGATACTGTATATTTTTAATCTATCTGCAATTACCAATCACATGTGACCCAGTTCAGTGACTGCACCTCCACTTTAAAACATTTTAGATTTGTCATTTGTGTCACATTGTTTTTGTTTGTTTTACTTACATTTGACCCTTAAAATAAAACATTGTGTATTTAATAAGATGTCTAACAGATAAGCAAATTATAAATAGGTAAACAACTAAAAAGCAGCATGTAATGAAGTTTTTTGTCACATTTCCCGTGATACCAAAAATTGCACCCCCCCCCCCCATATGTTATTCTGAGACACTGCATTCAATATACCTTCTATTCTTTTTTATATGAAATTTGGAAAAACTGTATTTTTAAGCTGAACTTGTGAAGTCTGAAAGCTCAACAAACTACTGCCGCCTAGTGGTAATAGAGGCATCTGCACAACATTTGTTTGAAACAAATAGAAGGCAGGAATATTTCAACCCGTAATCAAAGKGTTTTATTTTTAATTATTTTGTTTTTGTGTGTAAAATGTTTCACAGAATACATTATTATAATGATAGTTAAAAAAAACAATATTTAGCTTCATTCAGAGCATGCTCAACACTGCTTGATAGAAGCAGCAAAGTATATGTTGCATAGATAAGATGTTTTGTAATAAACTCGATTTCCATCTTGTTTATAATAAACATGCAGCCTCTCGCTTTGGCTCCTCAGCCTGAATGTTTTTCTGAAAACATGCAGGATGCTGAGTGTAAAATTCTAGTTAAATAATTTTCCACTAACATTTTATTTTACACTTGACACCTGCAGATGAAGCTGCTGAAAGTGAACGTTTTCTTCTCTCTGTGCTTGTTATAAACCAAATGTCATGACAATGTTAGAAACGATTAGTGCAACAAAAACAGTGAAATGTCATTTATTGAAAAATAATTTCAAAACACTTAAAAAATAATCAGATCAGTTAGAAATCAGGTCAGTAAAAAAGACCTGAAATGCTAAAAGTTAAGAGGGGATTAAAGTATTTCATCAGCAACACATACAATTTAAAACTAAACAACATTTAGGCATAGATAAGTGAAAAAAAGCATTATGTTGTTTCACCTTCTAAAGAAATCACAAGTGAAAAATAGCTCTGTGTTTGGAGGATACAAAATTTTGAGACAGTTTCAGTCAGACTGACTGACTGCTTCCAATCTGATGACATCTTTTTCAGRAAAGAGCTTCCATACTTCAGCAAAGCAGTGTCCACATATCCCTCCTTTGTATCTGCAGTCCAGACCTGTGAAAAATGTGACAAACCTCAACTGGTAAAAATATAAATAAAACAATCCTTCCTTGAAACAAAGTGTGGTGGAAAACATCTTTTTAAAGAACATCATGATCTAAACAGTTAATAAGTTTCTTCGGTGTGATTTGAGGAATAGAATTCAAACATTTTAAGTATTTGTGTATTTTTAGTTACATTTTACTTAAAGCCATTGTAGAGCACYCTGTAGAGACTAAACAGGCACAAAATCTGGCAAAACAACTTACACAAGAAATATTATTCTGATAAAAACAAGGCAAGCTGAGCTTTGTAAACTAATRAAACAATAATTATTGCMTTTACRCTTTACACTTCCAGAGCAMTGGACAGTGCAGAAAAGAGGTGAAGAAGAGGGTGCAGGCAGGATGGAGTGGGTGGAGACGAGTGTCGGGGCTGTTGTGTGAAAGAAGGATAGCAACAAGAGTGAAAGGGARAGTTTACAAGACCGAGACGGTAAAAGACAGGAGGCTGAGCTGGAGGTGGCAGAGATGAAGATGCTGAGATTTGCATTGGGAGTGACGAGGATGGACAATATTAGAAATGATCAGATCAGAGGGACAGTGAAGGTGGAGCAGTTTAGAGATAAAGCTAGAGAAGCCAGGTTGAGATGTTTTGGACATGTGTTGAGGACGGATAATGGATATATTGGACAAAGGATGTTGGAGATGGAGCTGCCAGGCAGAAGAAGAGGAAGACCGCAGAGAAGATTCATGGATGTAATGAAGGAGGACATGGAGATGGTTGGTGTAACAGTAGAGGAGGCGGGGCTGTGGCGACCCCTAAAGGGAGCAGGTGAAAGACAAAGAAGAAGAAGAAAAAGAAGATTGCCTTTGCWCTTTAGAAATGACCAATATTGCTTGAAAAA